AAATGTGGACCTGCATTCCAAAAGCCTCAGAATCAGGTCTTTCATATTCACTGTTTGTGAAATGGCCATTCTTGGGATCCTGCATTAGATCCAAGAAGCCCTCTGACACTGTGAGTGGATCAGGTCAGCCATGTTCCTCTTCCCAATTTACTTGACATTCCCTCCCTATCTAACACTCCACACCCAAAGACTGCTTATCCTCCAAATTGCTCTTAAAAGTCCTCTTCATGCCCAGTGCCCACAAAAATCCGGTAACTGCCTTGGTGTCTTTGTCAGGTACTTAGATGCTAGCGTGGCAGGCCTAGTAAAGTAACCTAGATAGGCTGAAGTAACTAGTCAGTCCTCTGTCTGGGTTTCCCAGTAAGTCCTGTCTCTGTGCCCATCTTGATCAGCACTCCTGGCTAGGTGCTCCCCATGTTTCATCTCACTGAGTTCCAAGCTCTGCCATCAGCATTAACAGTGTCTGGTTCTGCTGGTAAGATACTTTGGAAGGTTGGCACCATGTGTGTTTATTCAGTCCTGAAAATTCAGAATGTGCTTAAGAAATAATAGGTGATTGCACTAGTGTGTGCCATGTAATCATAAAATCATCCCAAATGGCCATGGGCCCCGCTGAGAGGCTGTCTCAGGATGACTGGTGCCTGTTACCTGCTCATGGCTGTTTTGAGATCCTCCTGGGATATAGGTATGAAATTTAATCCAAGAAAGGCCTTGCCAGCCACGTGTCAGCTTCCCTTTCTTAGATTGCATCAGGTGTTGTGAGATACCTGGGAGCACATCTCTGCAAGCAACATGGTCGTTGTCTGGAGCCTGGCTCCAGCCATTGCTGCCTTCCCATCATCTAGAAGCAGAAGGGAAAGTCAAAAGCTCTATCATTTTCCTGGATTCTCCCCTGGTCTATCATTGCTTAATTGCATCCCTAAATCTTATTGAAGTTTGGGGTCAGTCATTGCTGTGGTGAGGTGGAAACAGAGCTGAGCAAATTTAAGAGGAGTGTCTTCCCATGTGAGCGTGCTGGGCAGGAAAACTCCCACAGCAGAAACTCCTATCACTTCATAGATGCATTGCATCATCTGCTTGCTGCTGCCTCTAATTTAATGCTCTAAATCCCATATCAAAACACCTGTAGTCCAAAGAATATGAAATAGACTTGGAGTAGGGAATTCATGTCAATTAGACATGCAGATCTCTCCTTAATCGTCTGAGACCTTCTTCCAAGCTAACACAGGACTTATAATTGTGGTTCTATGTTGTCCTGTTGTATTGACAATCCACAGAACCCGCTTCCCTCTCCACCACCAGAATAAAGTTGCAGGCTCAGTCCAAGGTGGCTATACCTCAGTGTGCTAAATGTTTTTCATTTGTGGCTACAGTAGTTCAAGCTTGTAAAACACATTATGATCTCTTGTGGAAAGAAGCACTGTAGGACTGTAAAGCCATTGTCACTGGACAGATAATTTCTTTGTAATGAACTGGAAGACCTCCTCTGCTTTACTGTGTAGGCACCGTTATAATCCCTTGCACTTGCTGTTCTGGTTTCCGATGCAAATCCAAAAAAAAATCTTCTTTCTGAGGCTATGTTTTCCATCACATCCCAGGCTTCTGCTCCTTGTAACTTTTGGTGGTTTAATGTGCCTCTCTGGCATGGCTGGGGATACGCTGCTGTAGGCAGGGCAGGCACCTTTCGGGGTGGTGGAGGGAGCTCTGGATGTGCGCGTGTATTCCATCATGGGAGCACAAAATCCTGGAGCAGTTGAGACTGGAAGGGACCTGTGAAGATGATCTAGTCCAGCCCCCCGCTCAAAGGATCTGCCTCCTCACTTTCAGTAAGGCCTGGCTACAGCTCTTGATCTCCCTTTCCCATCACTGAATCAGTCCCTTTGGTATCCTGTGGCAGGGCAGTAGGTTGTGCCATTTTATTTCTTGCACAGGTGAGATTCTGTTATTGGCTTGCACTTGACCCTCATGTACCTGCTGGTTTAGAAGGTATGAATCCTGCCTGGTGATCACTTCAGCACAGAGGTTTCTACCATGAGACCCAATGTCAGGATAGTCTGTCTGCACCACCTTCAGGGTAAATCTTTTCTCATCAGTTACCATCCTAACTAGAGGGTTTGCTGGGAACAGTACAGTTGCAGTGTCCCTTACTACTTTGTTTTTCTTCGCAGACTTTAGGTAATATACCTGTAGCCCCTTTCACAGAGTTTAACTATTAAAATGAAAATCTAGCATCATGTCAGTGGGAGTTGAAGCCCCATCCTGAAAGAAAGGTGGGTGCAAAGCTTAGCCCTTTGTTACCGAAATAAAGAATCTGCAAGTTGATGGCCTGAACGGGAGCATGACATCCACCAGGAAGCCATTTGTCCATGGATCAGGAGGTGAATGGGCATCACTTTGGCCACCCCGTGGTGTACCTGCTCTGATAAAGTCCTGTATTGAATGCATCTGTAAAAGCAAGGAGAGCTTGGATCCCTCTGACTTGGCTTCTCCAGCTGGAGTGTCTGGGGCTCAGCTTCAGGGAGGTAGTAGGATATTTCATTTATTTGTAGCACAAATGAGTGATGATAGGAGAGCGTAAGAACTGTATTTGGCATTTCCTCCCTTCTTCCATGTTCTTCTTGAAAATGTTGATGGGTTTGTCTTCTATAGAATTGGAATTATAGTACCTACAAGTTGTTCTGACTTGCTGAGCTTTGACCTGATGTGGGCAGTCTGGGACCAGCCAGTAATGGAGCACAAACTGAAGGTGTTCAGAGTTGGTTAAGCCAAGTAAGGTTTCTAGGTTGGGTTACAAGAGTACAGCTTTTTTTGTGAAAGGGTGGGACACCAAGGGGGGTAAGTCAGTCATCTAAAAGAGTTTTGTTACGCAAATGCAAAATTTATTTTTGTTCATCAGATATTGCCTGGATAATGAGATCTCAGTTATTAATGGAGCAAATGAGGGGACGACAGCCAAGAAATGCCAGGGCACTTTGAAGATGGAGGTAAATCTGCAATCCAAGAGGAAGTTAAGAAATTCCTTTTGGAGTTATAGTAGACAGCAATGCTCCAAAGGAAAAGAAAGGCCAGGAGAGAACTGAGTCAGGCTGAGTATAATCAGGCACTTAATACTTCAGAAAATTACAAAATCACAGAATAATCAAAGTTGGAAGCGACCTCTGGAGGTCATCTAGTCCAACCCCCTGCTAAAAGTGGGGTCAGCTGGAGCAGGTTGCTCAGGACTGTGTCCTGTGGGGTTTTCAGTATCTCCAGGGATGGGGAATGCACAACCTGTTCCAGTGTTTGACCACCCTCACAGTAAAAAGTTTTTTTCTTATGTTTAAATGGAATTTCCTGTGTTTCAATTTGTGCCCTTTGCCTCTTTCCACTGGGCACCAGTGCGAAGAGCCTGGCTCTGTCTTCGTTCCCCCCTCTCCTATCAGGTATTGATAAGATTGATATACATTGATAAGATTCACACCCTTCCCCACCCCAAGCCTTCTCTGCTCAGGGCTAAACAGTCTGACAGAGTAAGGAGGGGGGATTTTTGTAGGAGGTAGGAGGTTGAACTAATGTTACTGGGCAGATTTTGGTAGTCTAAAAGCCAACCCGAATGCTGCCCTGAGTCAATGGTGATGCACAAGTAGTATGGAATAGGACAAATGAGCTTTCTTGCTTTTTTCTTCCTTCTCTGTACCTTTTTTTCCTTTAGTACCTTTAATTTATGTCTGTTTTCTTGGCATTGTCCCAGATGTCTTCTGGGAATAGTTATCTTTGGGTCTTTTATCTCTTTGTATTTGTCATTTAGTGTGATCCTGGCAGTCCCAAAAGCTAAGATATTTATGGTGAGTGAGTTCATGTTGGTGCTTAGTTGATTCCTGTGACCTGCAATGATGAGCAGAATCACTTTGGATAAAGCCTCGGGTCAAATTTTGAACTGGAGGTGAACTTTTATAGATGTTCAGTATAGTTAGAGACTGGTGTTTCTCGTTTTTTTAAAAAAGAAACTTGCATATCCTCAGTTTTGGGGAAGACAGTAGACTAAATAAGGAAGTCCCAGATATTAAGAGAGCAACTGTCTCTGCTCCAGACCCAAGAAGTCAGAATGCAATTTGTTCGGACTATAGACAAGTATTCAGGCTTACAGATCTGTATCTGACACAACTGGCTGATCTACAGCTTGGCAAACGTGTGTCCGCCAAAATGAGCTGTAAAAGCTCTCTCATGGGCTTTCCCTGTTGGCTAGTTGGTTACAAAAGCATGCCTGTTCATATGTACCTGACATTACATGCATTTATATGCTTGATACCCAAGTGCTAAATCTAGCTGAATATGTAAATATGACAAAACCTGTTAGTATTGCTTATGCCAATTAATATATTAGGAGTTCAGGGAAGAGAGAAAGGTTGGTTTGGGTTCTGCTTGTAGTTGCTTTAAAGCTGAGCATTTGGTCACTTACCCACCTTTACTAAGCTATTTTAAATTTATTTTCTACATTTGTTTTGGGAATGAGAACCCCCTGAACTAGTTAAATATGAAGACTTCCATCATTGCTCCTATCGATGTGTCACATCTCCTCCCAACAGAGATTTGTTAAAACTTGTCTTGGATTCAATTTGTCTGTCTTGTCGAACCATTTGAAGCAGCTAAGGCACAGAATCAGTTTCCCTGTATTTCTGTAAAACAACAGAAGGGATCTGGATTCTGCAGAAAACAAACAAAAAGAAAACCCTGATCTTATTTAAGAAGGGAAAGACTGGTTTCTCATGCATGAGGATTTCATTCCCCAATTCTGCATTATGTTGTATCTACCTATATCTGCTCTTATTGTAGTAGCCCCAAATTGTTGAGTGTACATGTACACAAAAGAAGCCAATGTGCAAACTTCAGAAGTTATGTGTCTGAACTATTGGAATTTGAAGCTTTGCTGGTGCTTCACAAAAGGTTTGAATTACATGTTTTTCAGAGGCTGAAAGCACTGAGTTTCTTCTCTCTGTTTTTTTTATGCAGGTGTGTTACTAGACATCCAGCAGCACTTTGGAGTCAAAGACAGTGGGGCTGGCTTATTACAGACAGGTAAGAGTATTTGTTTTCTCGCTGGTTTTTGTAACCTTCCTCTTCTCAGAAGGGTGCTTTCAGATTTCCTCAGTTACGACCCTTGGGCACATTGGCTGTGAAATACACTCTTACTGGGAAGAGGAGTGAACGTGAGGGTTTTTTTGGTTTTGGTTTTCTGGTGGGCAGAAGATCAGGGCTCAGAATAACTTTAGTGCAGAATGGGCCAAAAGCAAACAAACCTAATGATATTATTTATGACAACTAAATTCAAATAGGAGATGGCTACTTCCCCTGGATCAGAAAACTCAGGATAAACCAACAGCAGGATCCTGTTGTTCTCACTTCTTAACTCTCTGTAGGTTGGTAATAAGTGTGATGTATGATGCCCTTCGCGTGCTCTACAGAGAATCTGCTGAATGAACAGTAATTGGGAGTACAGTGTGGCATGAAAATGTAAAACTCATCAGGACAAGTGCCTGAGGATGAAAACCGCAGGGAAGGCTAACAATCATTGCCTTCGTGGCAGCTAATGGATTAACAATATCCCTATGATTTTGGCGCTGTTAGCTTCAGACATTTCTCTCCTTGTATTTAAGGAAGGATGATTGCAATTGTGATGCCCTTTTAATGTAGCAGACATCTTCAGACAGAGCTGTACAACGCCAGCACAAACCCAGCTTTTCTGGCCTCTGGTCCTGAGGTGGTTTAGAGGAGTGCCTTTGTCAATAGGCTGAATTTGCTGACATTGAATAGCAGTCTCATGTAGTTACGAGAGCATGTTTGGTTCTTACGGAGAGTTGGGAGGACTAGCCAGAGAGCACATGCAGTATTTTAAGGTGAGAAATAGTCTGGTTGGAAACTTCCTACAGAATTATTAGTTGGAGTCATAGATTTGTGGTGCTGTGGTTGTCTTGTCACCGACATCTGCCTGGGGGAACCACACTGGAACAATTATATCTCTGAAAAAATAAGAATTCAATTACAATTAGAAATGGTGTGCCAGAAAGACTTTATTTTCCATGGGTTTTTTTCTTATGCTGTCACAGTGGATACGAAATGCCCGTCAGGAGCTTTTCTGTGAAACTGTAGCCAAAAATGAAGTGTATAAAATCATTCATTCTTTATGATAACACTAGAGGTAAGAATGTTCTGGAGCTCTGTCAGTTGGCCTTCGATTTCAAACTATGTGATCTCACTGCAGTATCTCCTCCTTTTTATTTTCTGCAACCCATGGCTCTGCAGGGTCCTCAGCTGTGATTACAGCTTCCTGGTAGTGTTGTGACACAAACAATTAATAACAGTTTGAATTGGGGCTTTAAAAATGCTCTCCCTGTGGGACAGCAGAGTTCAGCTAAGCTGATGCATGCAGCACATGTCCAGAACAGAAGGCCTGAGCTTTATAAGTGTTACTGATTATAAGTAGCATCAATCAGTTATGCCCAAAGTAGCACTGGTTGTCCGTCAGGCTCTTTTCTGCAGCAATTATTTGTATTTATTTATTGTACTCAGAGGAACAGGTCCTCAATGTATCACTAGACACAAAGTGCCTTCAAGAAAATATTCTGGTAGAAAATGACACTTGCCAAAGCATATATTTTATCTTTCTTCCCCTCAGTGGATGAAATCCTTCTGCAGATGATTTGCTGACAGCAAGTAAGAGCTAAGCTCCAACAGGGCATTTAATTTGTTAATTGCAAGAAATGTTATTTATTTCTGTAGCAAACATGCAGGGTGTCTGAAAACAGCGTCGCTGAGATATTGCAAGATTGCTGCTGAGTGTTGTCAAGAGTTTTGTAACCTATAACTATTGCTTTAAGAAAAGCAACGTTTTCTCCTGGGTTTTTTGCTGATCTGAAAACTGAGGGCTTGACTTTGCCTCTGCAATACAGATAATACTGTATGAATCACAGTGCCATCACAAAATTTGAGTGCTTACAAAATAAAACACCATTTCATGTAAGTAAGGGTAGGGGCACACAACTGAAAACTCATTAAATGTATTACTTCAGCTTAACAGGTTTCTGTGCTGGCAGCTGGCCCATGGCCCATGTATGCTTAACCCTGGTGAAATAAAACACTCTGGCCTAAAACATCACAAACACTACTTTTAATTGTTTGTCTGGTCTCCAAGTCTGACCTCTCTAGATATGTAAGTTGGGGAAAATGGATGCAGAGTGTAAAAGCATTTGACCAAGGTTGCAGAGGAAGTCTGTAGGAGAGCTGGGACCAGGACTGATGTCTCCCAGACCTCTGCCTTAACCTTGAACAGTTCCTTTGCAAGCAGAGAGACAGAAATACCATCTTATTCCCAAGAGATGGTCCCGCTAACTAATTGAGTGATCTGAGACGAAAGACTGCTCATCCTGAATATGTCCTCTGAATAAAGAGTGGATTAGTCCTCAGGTTGTTAATTCTGCATCTAAATGAGTCCTAAATTAATTTACAATGTTAATGAGGGGGAGTGAAATGTAGTATTCGCTGGCAGTTCGTATTACTCATCAAACAGGCTTTAAAAAATAATAAAGAAAATCCTTTTAACTGAGAAACAAGGCTGCACACGGTTTTGGGAAGAGATGGTACTGAAAACTCAAACAGCAAGGGGAAAAGAAATGCACCAAAGGCAATGTGTGACACTGTGTTCATACCATAACCCGTTCTTTGCAGGCACAGCCAATCTCATAGCTCTCTCACTCCAAACATTCAAAAGCCAGTTCACACCCTCTCAGCTTCTACTGCTCCCTGGAAAGCAAAGGTGACTGGTTTCTTGGGAATTGCAAAGACAGAATTTGAATTTTTGTCTTCTTTTATATTAGTCCCAGGATACAAGCTGCTCTTTGCCTAGGAGATATAATGAAAACTGGTTAGAGGGGCACTGTAACTCCCTGTACAGAAAAATCACAGGGACACTCCAGCCTCATCCATAATGGAAAGGAGCAGAACGTGGTAGTCTCTGCAGCAAGGATCCTGTGACAGCAAAGGACGCGCTGACAGATGGATTGCAATTGCTTCTTGCCCAGTAGCGTTGTAGAGTAACAGGCATATAACTGTTGATTCCAGAGCCTCGGTTATCTCTTGATGATGCTATAATTCTGTGCTGATATTCCTTTTTAAAGCACTACATACACAGTTACATGAGTACTTGTTAAGTTCACTTAACTGTCCCACAGGTCTGCACCCAGACATCTTTCTTGTCCTTTTAATTTCTTAAGGGTTGCTTTTCCCAGCTGGAGAAGGGATAATCCTGGCTGATCTCAAAAGGTGACAAAGCATCTCACTGCCTACTTCAGCTGTACAGCTGTAGTCAGTCAATACATTTGTAAGCCAAACCCTACAAAAAGTCTTTCCCGTGTGTGGAGTTAGGTAAGAGCAGCAATTTGGACTCATTAGAACTACAGGCCTCTAAAAGCACAAAGCCTGAGAAGATGGACAACTGGATTTGTAGAAGTGCTTCATAACAGTGTTATCCTTCCATGGATACTTAGACCACAGGAGTAGTGCCCCAGTGCTGTACTCTGGTTTTCACTAGGTTTTTTTGCCTTCTTTCTTCAATTTTTGTGCTTTATCGCTCTCTCTGCTCTTGCCTGTGGATTTATTTTGCTTTTGTGTCTCTTGCCAGTGTCTATTTAGCACACCAGAGCTCTAATAATAATAGTGCCTGACTTTCAATACAGTTTGTCTTCTGTAGATCTCAGGATGTTTTCTTATAGGGAGGGATAATGAGGCTTGCCCTTTTCTACAGATAGGGAAACCAAGAAGGCCAGATGAGAGCCCTGCCCAAAGTCACACAGCAGGCCTGAGGCAGAGCCAGAATGAGAACTGTGGTCCAGTTCCTGAACACGCAGCATTCAACCAGGTTAATGCTGAGACCCAGAGATTTGGTTCTTGTTAATGGGCACCTTAATCTTCTAGCCTAGGCAGCTCAAGCTTGGGGGAAGGCACATAAAACAGTGGGGACTTCTGCAAGTGGAAACTGCAAGGCATCAAATGGCGGGTATGGCAAGGATTCCATTGAAATGCAGAGGGGGAAAGTGTCTCTCTTTAGAAAGAGCATAGGGGTGTCATTAGAGGAAACCCTGCTAACCAAAAGTCTATACCATAAGGTCAGAAGCAAGGAAATGTAAGGAAGCAAGAGATCTGGAAGGACTCGTTAAAGGTGAATAATCACAGATAGCTGGGGCTCTGAAAGAACTTGTCTCTTCTCATGTGGAGAGAGATGGGCATTCTCCCAAATGCCTTTCAGCCCCTGGTTTCCCAAGAAGCCTAGCAATGCCAAGCAACTTATTAAGTCTTGTTGTGGGCTCATTTTTCCAGTAAGGGTCAATTCCAACTAAAACCTCTGTTCATTTGAAAAGTGAAACCTTTGCCCACCTGAGTTCCCCTACCTCTTGAGCTGACCTAGTGCAACGTTGGACTAGATTGCAACCTTGCAAATATATTAGCAGCTCTGGTGTGCTGTGATTGCACCAACTGAGCTGTAAGCATGTGCACTGAGTAGGGGACTTGAAATGATAGGATAAATCAGACTTGCTAAATTCAAGGGTTTTCTTTCGAATCCCTTTGACTCCCATCTTCTTGTCATTGGCTTAATGATGACAGCCTATACTGCTGTAACTTTTTTTATTTATTTCAGACAGACACTACCTCTTCTGGATGATAACCTTGAATATGTGTTTATTCCATGAGTTGCAGATGACACATATTTCTTCTCTACCATCTGCTTCTACCTGAATAGATGCTGCTGTGCTCCTCATCTGTGCTATGCATAACTGAATCAAATCTTCATCTTTCACTTCCTACTGCACCTGCTTAACTGTTCTTGCTAGAACAGAGGAACTCATATTCTGGACAATTTCCTGGTTTCTATTTAAAAATTCACGGGCTTTCCTTTTGAGTGAATGACTTCTTAAACCAGGGCACCTCCCAAGGCCCTGGTATCTCAGGTATCCAATCCAGACGGTGAGACAGAATGCTTTGAAGTTGCTCTTCTTGATTTATGACTGCAAATGGTTTGGACCACA